AATAAAATAAATAAAGAGTTAATTGAACAAAATAATGCATTAAAATTTATATGGGAAAGCTGGTATAGTAATCAAAAAAAAAGAATTGACTCTATAATTCAAATTGTCAACCAGGAACGTCATAGCATTTATGAAGATATTAAGTTATTAATTTTAAATAGGCAATAGTTTTCACTTAATAATTTATTAAACTTTGCATCTGATAATTGGTTAGCTAATTGTAACCCAGTTCTCGTAAATTTTATTAATACTTTCACACATAATAATAATAATAGCCATAGTATTTATACTTCAAATGAAAAGATTTTTAAAAAAATAGTTGCAGTTGATGCTATATATAGATCGAGACATAAAAATTATGTATCAGAAATAAATCTAGCTATAATCAGAATTAAATATTTGATCGCATGATCTAAAACAATTATTAACATTGATAATCATATAATTAGTTTCAGAAGTTATTTGATATTCGTTAATTGGCTAGAATCATTGGCAGTTAAAGTTGAACCTTTACCTGAAAACTCTTGTTTTCAGCCTTTGATAATGAGCAATGTGGTCAATATAATTATCTTGATCATAGTATAATACAGTCATATATCATACTGTTACAAGTTTTATCATAGTCAATATAGATAAAAATGATCATGTTCAATTTATAATTGTATCTTGCCTTTGTGATTCCTAACTGATAAACAGTATGATAAGTTATATTATATTGTACCCGAAATATAAACCGAACACAAATTAAAATTAAAAATATACTTATTATCAGTTTTAGAGGAGCTTGTTGTTGAAAAAAATAAAGAAATCAATATGATTAACCTAACTATCCAAAATCAAAAAGGTACCGAGAGTTAATCTAAATAGTGCAAAAAATATAATACAACTAATATCAATAACAAAAAACATACTTGCCCTAAGTATAATAAAAAACTAGACACATTGGCTATTTTACAGGCAAAATCTGCTAACAAGATTAACCATATTAATATAACCACCCAATCAAAATTTCTTGTAATAAAGTCTTATATATTTGTTCACAAACAAAACAGTACCAATTTTGATCATATTAGTATTATACAGCAGTCGAACTCTGAGCACAATGTTGTTGTTCCTGAAATATATTTATTAGACTCATTAGAATTAAACTCTAACTCAGTAGATAATATTAAAAATACTCAAATACATACAGAACATTATGGAAATAAGCCAAGGAGAGTGAAAATGGCTACCTATTACTTGCAATAGTGTTACTTATACTCTAGCTCAAAAGATTAAAAAAATCTTTCTGTAGCTTATATTGATTTTCAGTACCCTATATGAAGAAATGAATATGCTCAAGATGTTTATAGAGCTAATTTGGTATTAATATCCTTTTTTTTCTTAAAGTGTATGAACTATACTCTTTAATATAAAATTACTATTATACATCATTCTAGCTATAATGGCATTTTTTAAACTTTTGAGCCTACATACTTACAGTATAACCTTGATATAACAAAACCCTGAGCTGTTGATATATCAAGATTTCGATATATTGAGGTACCTTACTATAATTAATCTATAAGTTTAGCTAGAAATATTCTTCATTATAGTGGCTGATTCGGTTTATCAAGATTTATTATATCGAGATTATACTGTAATATAAAAATATCTCTGGTTAAGCCAACATTTGGATATATCAAACAATTTCTTGATTTTTTTAAAGTATTGATATAACCAAAGTGATATGCATTACATTCTTATCTTTAACTTATTTTTTTTTAGAATGATTGAAATCAAACAATTTATTTGCTTCTCTTCAAGAATACAGAACTGAAAACCAACTTGCATTTTTTAAAAAGTGCGCTGACCATCACAAATTGTGAAACTCTATTTGTAATATTTATCGACATGCTATTACATGTAAATTATTATGGCTATATATAGCTGCAACAGAAAATCCTTCAGTTGATGATTTTCTAGATTGGGCAAGAAAACAAAATAATTATATATATAAATTAAAATTTGAACAAGTAAGGTCTTTAAAAAATATCAAATATATTTAAAACTTTTGACTAATAATTATTATAGACATTTACCTATCTCTATGTGGTCATTAATTTTCACACAGAAATTAGAAACAATTGACCATTGTTGGTAAGTGCTTCTCGACACATATTTGCTCTGATATAGTCTGGTTGTAGATATCCTATATAACGTTTAATCAAAATAACTTATGAAGAACAATTAATGTGATTAAATTCTAAGATTAAACAGCATATAGAGTTCTATTTGGTTATTTCATAATCAGAATATATCAATCAACACCAAGGCTTTGATGCTATTCTTAAGAAGGTTAATAAATATTTAAAGGCCTTAATTCTACCTATACCTTCACAAAAACATTGAAGAATAGCAGTGCGTAATTGTATAAAGTTTATAAAGGTTAATAAAATTACATTTGCATTAAATAAAAAAATTATATCTGTATTTACTTTTTGATAATAATTAGCTATGTCACGCATTAAATATGATCAGGCATACGGATAACAAATCATCAGAAGGTCAGATACATTAGCAAAAAATATAGGCCAATATATATCAATCAATATCTATGTGGATATATATCGATAATAATTCCCCCTGTTGGGTTCTATCGATTGTAATAGTAATCGATATATATCCGGTTAATATTCAATCGATAATTATCGATTATGCTAATTATCGATATATAACTTTAAT